CAACACTATACTTAAGCTGCGTCACTGTATCAACCCTGCTTGCAAACGGTAGCAAATTATAACTAGTGACTCTATTATCAATTTTCGTCTACAAGAAAGGATTGTTGCCGACGCGCAAGTGGGATTTTATTGCCCGTTGCAATAAAACCCTTCTGGCGCTGCGTCACTGTATCAATCCTGCTTGCATACGGTAGCGAACCATTATTTGAGAGCCTGAAAGCAAGATGCTTATGGAAGGATATTTTTTTTATTAATAGCAATCAGGGTTTTATAACATTTTGCAACATTACTCATATTTCGCTGCTTTACTGTAATAATCATGGTTGCAAACGCAAGCAAATTATTACTAGTGACTCTATTAGCAATTTTCGTCTAATGGAAAGGTTTGTTGACGACGGGCAAGTGGGATTATATTTCACGTTGCAATAAAACCCTCCTTGGGCTGCGTTACTGTATTAATCCTGCTTGCATACGGTAGCAAACCATTTATTCGAGACCCTGAAAGCAAAATGCATATATTAAGATACTCTTTTGATTAATTGCAATCAGGGTTTTATAAAATTTTGCAACATTACTCATATTTTGCTGCTTTACTGTAATAATCCTGGTTGCAAACGCAAGCAAATTGTTACTAGTGACTCTATTAGCAATTTTCGTCTATTAGAAAGGTTTGTTGACGACGCGCAAGTGGGATTTTGTTGCACGTTGCAATAAAACCCTCCTTGGGCTGCGTCACTGTTTAAATTTGATAGACCAATCGTCTGACTATGGAAAAGCCATCACTTTTGGATTTTCGTTATCGTCACAATAATTGGACGACAGATAAAAATCACACTATGTGCGACAGTCTTGTGTTACTAGGGAATCCTGGTTGCAAACGCAAGCAAATTATCACTAGTGACTCTATTAGCAATTTTCGTCTATTAAAAAGGTTTGTTGGCGACGCGCAAGTGGGATTTTATTCTTCTTTTCATTTTAGAATCGTTTGGATCGAGTGCAACTAGGTTTTTATTTCAGTTCGCAGCTAAACTCCAACTGTTGCTACTTCAACGTATGAAAACAGGTTGCAAGTGAGGGTCAGTCATTGCCCATAACTCTAGTAACGATTTTCTTAATTGACACATTTTCCCAAACAAGCGGAAGCGGGTTTCAATGCCAGTGTGCAGTTTAATTACACTTTGTCGCTTAACTTTGTGAAACCTGTTTGCACTAATGGTTAAAACATTACGCATGAATCTAAGAACCAGTTCTCTTTATTTTGATATTGTTTCGATCGAGTGCAACTAGGTTTTCACTTCAGTTCGCAGCCTAACACCTGCTGCTACTTCGACGTATGAAACCAGTTTCCAAGCTGCCAATGATTGTAAATTAAGTAGAAAGTTCACTGCGTTAGAAGACATTTTTAATTAAGTGCAAGTAAGATTTGCTTACATTTAGCAATAATACTTCACTAAGGATGCTTCACTGTATCAATCCTGCTTGCAAACGGTAGCAAACCATCTTTTGTGACTCTAAAAGCAAGTTCCTTGCATTAGGAAGCTTGGTTAACTAAGTGCAAGTAGGAGTTTACTACACTATGCTATAATACTATACTTTCTCTGCTTCAAAGTATTAATCTTTGTTGCAAACGGCGGCCAACCGCTGCTCGTAAATCTAAAAGCAACTTCCATTTATGTCGAAGCTATTGTGATTAAGTGCAAGTGGGATAATACCACAGTTAGAATTATTACTCCACTTACGCCTTTTCACAGTATCGAACTGTAGCGAACGGCTGCCAAACATCCTCCTCCTTGACTCTAAAAGCTTGTTCCTTTTGTGAGGGAGCTTTTTAAAATATCCGAAAGTAGGATCTTATTACAGTTTGTAATATAACTTTACTTAGGCTGCTTTACAGTCATAATCCTAGTTGCAAACGACAGCAAAACATTATTATTGACTCTAAAAGCAAGTCCCTTTTATAGGGAGCTTTAAAAAATATGCGCAAGTGGGATTTTATGACATTTTGCAATAATACTCTACTTTTGCTGCTTCACTGTATGAATCCTATTTGCAATCAGCAGCCAATTGTTGTGTGTGAGTGATTCTTATATGCCTTTTTTCTTTTCATTACTGTGTTTTTGTCTTCAGGTTGTGCCATTTTTTTTACAAGATTTATTGAACAAATATGTTTTTTTTACGTTTGTGAAAAAATAATAAAAAATTACATTGAGTTTGCGTCTGTGTTCTCTTTTGATTTCTTTCTACACACCAATATTTATACCGTTAAATGTGTCAAGGCAAAAAGGCAAAGGCAGCTTACGCTAAACAGCTTTGCCATGTAAAGCGGCAACAGTATTGGACTAGAACAAACAAAATTGATGATTACATGTGTCTGCACCTAAAAATTACCTGAGACCTTGGTCACTTTGTTGCATGTTTTTAGCGACTCAAATCAATCAGCGAATCAAATACAATTTTAGCGTAGTATACTCAAAAAGCGAAAGGGGCCCCTCGTCTTGCACGGCATGCCTTCTTCACTGACTGTATGCAGTTTTCACTGTCGGGATATTGGACTATCGAATATTTAAATACACGTAGGGATACGTTCAGTGGCCAAAGCCCATTTAATTTCACGGAGCAAAACGTAAAAATAGAGCCGCGGCCATCTGCAAAGCAGGATTTAGTAGCTTCTGCCGTTTGAAGCGAGTTTTGCCACGAAAATACACTGAAAACGGAAGTTGCTTTAATGTCGGTTCGATTCGGTCGTTTGAATCTGGCGGTGTATGAGAAACTCAGATGATGGCGCCCACAGCTGGCAGCTAGACGACTAACCCCCTTCTCGCTTTTATCCGTTTCCATCTCAATTTCGGGAATGCATCTGATGTTGCAAATCGTTTTTACAGACTTGCAACGATTTTGTTTGACTTATTTTCAGCCGCTGCCCATCAAAACGCATAGGATTGTTAATAAAATTAAATGCCGAAAACCCGAGGCGGACGGGGTCGCCATCTTGGCCGTCGGCCGCTAGCAAGGCGCGCAGAAAGGGGGCCCGTCCGAGGCTAGTTCGACACAACGTTATTGGCAGTCGACCCCGGAAACTTTTCAGACTGATAGTACACCACAGCTGAACATGAATGAAAGCTCTTCCAAGGGCAGACCCCTTCTCATACGAAGTAATAGCATGAAAAGTCTGTCCCTACCAGACAATTTACTGGCAGCAGTCTTCTTCGGGGTTCCCACCCTGTAAAACATCTTCAGATTTCTGACTACTT